CAGAGCCTGTGAGGACAAAGGCTGTCTCCCTGACATCCAGCCTAGCAAAACAAAAACCAGTAACAACCCAGACACCCCATAAAGACTTGTGGAAAGCGCACGAATAACACAGACAGCCGCTCTCAACTCCCACTCATTCACTGCTGTTCATGAATCGGCTCTTTGGGGTTGTCTGTTTCGTTACATGTTTACGGTGAGGATTTATGCATCTGTGTCACCGAGGACTAACGAGTCATTTTTACTGCACTGGCCAGGGTGACCAGGACACGCTATACATGAGAAACTCGAGCCGGTAAGCTAAGGTTAGCGGGAACGCTGCCAGCGTGGGGCCTGGAACTGTGACAACAGTTCATTATTCGGGAAGAACCGGAGTTTGTGTTTCAGGGAATGAATCCGACAGTCACTAATGAACGGACAGGCTTCATTGGCATGTCTTAGAAGCCCCATTCTCTGTGTCGTATGGTGTTTGATGATGGACATGGTATCTATCTGGTGGTGGAGTGGGGGTGGGGTAGGGCTGTTGGGGAACTTGTTTGAAGGATACTGTCAGTTATTTCTCAATGGTCTAACACTTTAGTCAATTTCAAGAGATACAAACACTGCGTGGATGTTCCTTACACTGAGACAGTATTGCATCACGTCTGGATAGTCCCCCAAAGATGCCTTATTTCCTTAAAAGATTCTGGTTTTTTGTTTTGTTTTAATTTTCCAAATACAAGGTGACAAGAAGTGTCAATTGATGGCCCTTCAAACTACCCTTGCTACCTCAGACAATCTGAGAGGGGCTCTGCCACACGCCCAGAAGTACGGCTCTAACGTGGGGCAATTTCCACAAAACCAATTTGTGAAGCAAATACTTTGCAAACGTGATCCGGATTTTGTGAAGGTTAAGCACCACTGCTGCGATTATACAAGCAATGACGAGGCGTCCCTGGCATGTGGCCTTACTCTGGTTACAGTATGCCCTGTCCCTGTTTCCCCAGCTGGCTCCCACTGCAGTTAGCACCAGCTGACAACGGTTCACATTAGCTGGTCTGTTATCAAGGACACACACACACGGAGAGAAACACAAATGTCTGAAAATTCTTAAAATCTCAACAAACTGGTATTTCTATGAGTCTAGGGGACTGCCCTGTACCTAAATAACCCTTGGTTTAAGCTCAAAGACAAGCTAACTGCCATCACGTCCACCCGCCAGGGCGGAGTAGAACTGCCACTGTGGGCTCCGTGGCTGCTACTCTTTATGGGAGCAGAAAGCCTCATCTTGCTCCATGGAGCGACTGGTGGTTCCGAACAGCTGACTTTATGGTTAGCAGCTCAACTCATAATCCACTACGTCATCAGGGCTTCTTTGGTTTACACTAGCATGATTTGGGTTAAATGTCTATAAAGCAACTGAGTCAGTTGTCCTTCAAATGAGTAAACGGGGAGGGAGAACACAGCGTGGAATTGCGTCAGAAGATCTGCTAGGCTGAAATCTTTGTGGGAGCGACCTGCCAGGTCTTTCCTCTCTCAGAGTGGCTGGTGGCTTAGAACCACCAACCTTCTGGCTAATAGCGAAGCTCTTCACCACTGCACTGTGAAGGCTCCTTTAGCATGACACTAATTTGTCATAAGTAAAATGAGACTGAGAATGGAAGACCATGAAATGCCTGAAGTATATCACCGCAGTTCAAGAGGCATACAAGGAATGCCACAATGAGATGGGGTTTGTTTTTCCGGCCTAGCAAGTGGACAAAAACAAAAAAGGGCGAGTAATAGCCAGCACTGACTTCAAACAACCAACAAAACTCACTGCCATCAAGCTGACTGGAACTAATAGCGGCCCCATAGGGCAGAGTAGAACTGCCCCGTGGGTTTCCAGGACTGGAAGTGGTCTACAGGAACAGAAAGCCTCCCTTTCTCGCCCGGAGCAGCTGGTGGTTTCAAACAACTGACCTTGTAGGGAGCAGCCCCAGGTGTAACCACTATGCCACTGAGCGCACGGAGAGAGTAAGCTTTCAAAAACGGCGGGTCAGACTATGAAGTGGTGTGTCCTCCCTACAGGGAGGTTGGCCCCAACATCTCTTCTAATTTAAAATGTTCATTCTGCCTTCACACGTGATTTTATTTCCAGTCCTCTACCTTACAGAAGCGCCCCTGGTTGTTTAAAGAAACAGATGTACAAAGCAGTTCCTGAAATGTCTATATGAGCTGGGGGG